CCCCACCCACCCCGCACTCCAGGGGCTAGGCTCTCTATAGGGGGCTCCCACAGACCTACCCCTCCCCCATGCAGTCCCATGCACACGCGAGAGAAAAGACTTTTGTCAACTCTGTTCGGTAGGCTGAATTCGATAGCTGAAACCCAGAATCCGATGCCCTTACAACCTGGAGGGAGTGTTGGTTGTCACGACCGGATTAATTGTACGAAGAGAGAACTAAGCTGAAGTTTGTATCTCGATTTCAGACATCGAATTCAGCCCATCGGCAAAGTCACCTTGTCTTTCGTGATGCGGTTGCGGCCCTTGGAGAGCAAACTGCACGGGCCCCGGGAGGCAGCGAGGCAGTAAGCCGTGGTGTAACGGCGGAACGATGGCGCTGACGGCGCAACGGGGAGGTCACTATCGTAATTTTACAAAGAAAGTTTGTGGTCGCGGGTCGTGCGGCCCGGGCGAGGCGGCGAGAGGCCGCGCCTGTTTTGGCGGGAGCGGGATGGAGCAGCTGCAGTCTGCGCTAGACCCGGCAGCAAACGAGTGGAGCGGCGGGCTCAGCCTGCCCAGCCCGCGGGTAACCAGATTACTTACTTTCTCCTACAAAGAGTGACCTTCAGAGTGGCGCGCGCGCTGGGTGCCCCCGCCGCGTGACGTAAGGTCGCCTGGGAGACGGACCGACAGACAGACACACACACGGCAGATGGACAAGCGGCACACACAGCGGGCGCTGCGCATCCACAACACCATGTAGTACAGGATGGAGCGCGCTGTACGGGTCCGGCCGCTGGGCTCGACTGGCTGCGACAGCTCTCGTGCAGTGAGGGATCCGCGCGCTCGCCCGTGTAGCCAGAGTACCCAATAAAAATATGTTTTCAACGATTCATAAAAAAAGAGCCGCATGTGTTATAAAAGTCTAGATTAAATCAGCTCAGAACGCAGCCAGCCAGAAACGACAGAGGCGTACGCACGGCAGGGAGGGCTGGTCACGACAGGGCAAGCAGTGCAACGATTTAGAATTTAGACACAGCATTCGGTCAGTTTCAATCACAAGAATACTTGTTTTTCTCTAACTACTTCCGAGTGTTTCGCCCGTGCAGCGCACCGCCCAACGGGAGCGATGGTTATCGGAATAGGGCGCTCACGCTAGAGGGCCCGGTCGGACCGCACGACCAAACGCGTCCAGGAACACGCAGTCACTACTGGCAGCCCGGCCGCAATAAGTTCAAAGCGACTACTTCGGCGAAACCCCCCTTTCATGTTTTGTCTTACCGTAATGATCAATTCCATTTCTTTCCCCTACCTCCTCAGCGCTCGCCCAAAAGAAAGATGACAAGAAGGAGGACTTCCAGTGCCCGGAAGGGAGCGGCAACGGCAACTTCGCAGACCCCTCGACGTGCCGGAGGTTTTACCAGGTGAGCAGAAAAAGCGCCTGCGGTGGTCGAGCTAGGCCGCCCCGCCAGTCACCCTTGTGTTGCGGGACGGCCTACCTGCCAACGCCTGCGAAGGTCCGGATAGGCCGCCCCGCCAGTCACCCCTGTGTTGCGGGACGGCCTACCTGCCAA